TTATCCAATATGGCTGATTTGATGAGTTCACGTGATCTGTAAGAAAGAAGAGAAACCAGAATTAGAAGATGTACGTACGTTTGTGCAAGGCAATGATAAATTGCTGTTTGCTTAAGTGCCACACAATAAATGTGCGCGCGAGAATAATAACAATTTAAATATTCACAATAATATGTAGTAAAAGAGGCGGCGCACAGAACGCTTATACTTGGTTGGATAAGAAAGTGTTTGCATAAAAACGCTGATGGAAAAGTATCGCAGTCATTCAATATATTTGTATATTTTCCTTCCCCCTCAGCGCCGCTTATCAAACCTTATCACCACCCTTTCCCCCTCGCCACTTACAGCTCTGATTTGGGTATCTTCATCAGCTCACTGTCCGCATCCACCAAATCGGAGAGCGGCTCCGCGCTGTAACCCTGCCGCTTCATGCGCGGCTCACTGCCGGTGGCAATCATGCGCGTCGACTCCATGCCGCCACCATGCGCGCCATCATAACCTTCGGCGGTGTGTTGCAAGAAGACTTGCGTTAGTGGGCGCACCACTTGCCGAAATTTGTCCAATTCATTTTGCAGCTCTGTCACTGTTTGATCTTTGTTAGCGCATTCTTGTTGCAAGCGCGCTATGCTGCTGCAGAGAAAACGTATCTTATCACGATTTTTTATGAGGCGCGCATCCTTAAGCTGCAATTCCGCTTGCAGCTTCGTTATGACATCCGTATGGCCATTGCTGGCAGAGCATGCTGCAGCATTCTCATCCTCTTCCGCGCCATCGACGAGCGCATCACTACTACTGCTGCCGGTCGAGACGACGACGCTCAATAGCTGATGGCATGTGGTGCACTGACTCTTCTCCAATTCCTGTTGCAATATCGCACACTTAAGCGATTTGCGATGTAACGCTTCGCGCACCAATTGCAACTCGCGACGCAACTCGCCCATTTGTTCTTCCAAGTGATGCGATTCGCGCTGCACCACATCGTTTGTGCTGTAGCGTAGCATGATGTACGTACTCGTCGAGCAGCAAAGATATTGCTTCGCGGATCACAAAAAAAAAAAAATGAAATTGAAATTAACACAAATTCACCAAAAAATACAGTTCGTACTATACTTAAAAATCGAACCAACGCGCACTGTTGTCTTGCAATGACTGTGTTCCGAAAATTTTCGGCTAGGCTAGCCGCGCGCGCGCTGCGCTTTGCATATGCCTTACGGCGTGGCGTCGTCGTCGTCGTCAGCAGCGGCGTTGTATTCGTTGGTGGCGCCGCGCCTGTTAGCGCTGATATTGTTTATCGCTGCTGGGCGGCATTGATGCGCCAGCACTCCATAAATACATACTTTGTGTAAGAAAGCAGTAGAGTTTGAGGAAAACTTCAGTGCATGCGCGCTTGCGTACGTGCGTACGCGTCCTAAGGTTGTCGCGCTCTTGACCTTTTTGCATTGATTTTTATGTGCGCTTTCTTGTTTATGTGCTTTTATCTTTATCGTTAGCTACGCATCGCGTTTCTTTCGCATATTGAATGTTTTCCGTAATTACGAGGTACTTAAATTTGGATTTTGTTTATGTCGCGTTCCGTTGCGCTTGTCACTCTTGTCATATTTTTTGGTTTGTTTTTAAATGTCACGCGCTAAAAACCAATTCACTGCGCTTCATACCGCCGCACAACGCGCGCTTGGCAAGCGATATGTAAAGAGCGCTCGCCGCGGCGCTTCTACAGCTGACACTCACAATTGGGTGGCTCATTGCCAAGTGTAGCGGCGCAGCAGCAGCGCGTCACAGCGCATTTAAGCGCCTTAGTTGTGGTGGTTGTTGTTGCTTTTATTTATGTAGTTTGTTGTGCGGCGCGCATTGCCGGCGCGTTAATAATTGAATGGACTATTGTACGCGCTCGCGGCAACTACTGTTGCTTTAGCTGTTGTGGCTCTTGCCGTCGCCTCCGCCGCCGTTTTATTGCTGTTGCTTTTTGTTTTGTGTTTGTTGTCGTTGCTATTTGCTCTTATTCTTTGCACTATTTGTTGTTGTCTTATGCGATTTTCAATTAAAAACAATTAAACTGAGTCTGACGTTGTCTCGTCGGCGCTGTGGCTGCCGTTCGTCAGTCGATGAGTTGCTGTGAATGTCACACTTAAGCGGGGTGGCAGGCGCAGCGACAACAAGCGCTATCTTTAATCACAATAATAATAATAATAACTACAGCAGCCGCAACAGCAACAGCAACAACAACAGCGCAGAAAAGTTCTATGTAAAAAGACAACGCGTATAGAAAAGCGTCTAACGCCATTCGCGCGCACAGTGGTACTGATTTATGTAAGTGACATAGAAAATCAGAATTTCGCTTTCGCTTTTCACTGGTCCGCAGCTCGCGCTTCGCCACCAGAGAGGCACTACATAGCGCGCTGTTGCAATGCAATTTCCCTTTCAAAGCAACTGAACATAAAATTTACCTGAGTTTTTGTTTGTGTGCGTTTTACGACTATGCACTTGAATGAGTGCAAAAATTTATTTTTGAATCTCAGCCAATTTTGTGTCTAGGTAATCTCTTTTATATGGAGCCACACAATTCTACTTGCATACATATGTATGTATATATGGCAGCAACGAAAACATAGGCGTATGTGCAGAAGAGGGTTAGGTTATACTACGTTACAATGGCTGACCCAGACACACCAGAGACACACTTGGAGATTTAGGATATAGTCCTTTGTGATGCCACGGAAAGCTGAACGAAGAAAAGTTAAGTCGGCGAAACCCCGGGAGCTGACAATGAAATCACGAAAGCGGCTAATTTCTACGCCAGAGAGGTTCCCGGGTTTAGTCAGGAACTGCGAGCCAAAATGTTTCCTGCTTAGCCTCGCAAGTCTAATAGAAAGTGCTGAGATGACGCCACCTCATCATCCTCTTGGCAGCTGCTACAGCAGGGATCAGGTAAATTAGAACCTCGCCAACAGCGAGAGCTGAGACTTTGCAAGCGTAAGTAACTCCTTTGACCGTTAACGATCAATCCTAGTCCATAAGGATCTTGCAATTTCGCATGTCAACCAGCGCTCGCTGGGCTAACACTCGGCCCAAGGGTGCAAGAGTAAACCACAAGAAAGTAGAGGCATCCCCAGCTGCTCCCCATTCGATGATAATATCTCAGGTCTTGCATTTCCTTGCCATACCATCAGCCACGCAGTTTCTCGCAATGCCGCTAAGGCGCGGAACCCACATGAGTCTGATGCTCCGGCGTAGTTGAGAGGAAGGTCTGAAATTGCTTGGCCATTGGGAGCTTGGGGATCTGTAGGCCACTGAAAAAATAGTATGTAAATGCTCACCTCCCTAATTGACGTCACACACTTCAGCAGTGAATCGACCGCTTCCTTAATGGCAGCCACATATTCTAGCCTAAAAGTCTTTGCATCAGTTCGGAAGCCTGAACATAGTTTTTGTTGGAGAGCTCCCGGCAAAAGACACCTACACCAATCCAGCGTTAAAGTTTTAGTCCATCTGCGTAAAAGTTCACTGCTTCCCTCCGAACCACCGAATCATCTCTTGAAGGAATGAGGGAAGAGATGAAGCTAATGGAAACCATTTCGGAGGCGCAGTAATCTGTATGATTAGCAACGAATTTAAAGGCCTCCAGACCTCCAGAGTGTTCAGTTTTCGAGCCATTTAATCACCCAATTTCCCTGAGTCTAATGGCAGTAATGAAAACAGGAGTGCATTTAATTACAACTGTACCTTGAGATTCTCATTTCCGATTGCATTGGATTATTTCCATTAAGCCAATAAGGCAGTGTTTGGTTACTACACCGACTACTATTCCGAGAGAGGATCGGTCAAGCTGGGTGAAAGCTTTAGACCGCTTTTCAACAATTTTCGTCAGATATGTTTGGTAGTCTGACATGTGGTTTCCATTGTCCAACTGGTGTTTACCTCCTTGATGAGGGGTATGCCAACGTTCTGACCAGACTTGACCACGGATATTTCTATAAATTTCCTTATCAACTCGTGGGCCTTTCAGCTGCAGGAATATTCTTGCGCTCAGTGACTCACATAGCGGCCAAGAGACATTTCGATGCTAGAAGTTATTTTTCTCTGGATGGATTTTACACATTGATCCGTGTGATTATAGAGAATTAATAACAACCTGGTTGTCATAATATATAGTGATAGGCTGATTTGGAGGGGCGGAAGCTATGAGAAGCAGATCGGTCTCCATTATGACGTTTAGTTGTGCCTGAAAAGCGCTACAGTGGTCCGGTTAGCGAAGACTGAAGTTCCACTGCCTACTCTTCCATTTAGCTTGGAACCATCTCTACAGATAGCCGTTGACTCCGAGTCTAGGTCTTTGGCACCTTGTTTAAACAGGGTAGAAGAGTAATCTAGTGTCGGTGGATTGTGTTCGGCAGAGTTTCCTGGTCTTTTTCGTGTCCTGTGGGGATCTCACTTAACTTGCCAGCAGTACAATTGGCCAGAAATTGCGGTTGACCATTTAATGAGGGTCGTTTGAATAGTTAAATTTCATTTTTCCCTCACTACCGTGGCGTCGTCTGGTTTGAGATAGCCTTTCCGGGTTACCGGGGCTCTGCCTCGGATAAATATCTGTTTTCCCTCATTACTAGTGGGCTTCTTATGGAAGACAATTATGCACTACATATTACGAAACAATAAATAAGGCAACTGAGCTTCCTCTACTAGAGGACAGCATTCGATGGACCCGAAGGGGCACGCGATGCCCAATGAGCTCGTTAAACGAATGTCGATTACAGCGGGCGAAATGGACCGAAGTTTTGAGCCAAATACTGATGCTATTGTAATGGACGAAAGAATATTCGGACCAGATCTAGACGTTGAGATGACCAACTTGGACTTTTTTTCTAATGGCGAGTACGGAGAGATACCCATGAAAGAACAGGATGATATCCTAATCTCGTCTCAAGCTGAGGAAGTTAGTGCTCATAAAAGGAAACTTCCCGAAACGGCTAAGAGTTTCTACAAATAATTTCTTTCCCAGATAATCCCGCGAGTCAGAAGCCAGAAAGTTTGCGTTTTTGCTGCACGTTGCTGGAATTGGCGTCGTTACGTCGGGGTGGTAAAAGGACGATTCACTCCGTGAACTCTACTACCCCTAAGGAGCAAAACTCTCCACAAACCCAGTCATATCCTTCTGACTGGCAAGACGGCCCACACCGGATTGCCTGCAGTAATAATAGAAGCAACCTTCGCTGATGTTATCAAAGTGCCGACTAGTCAGAAGGGCTGTGGAAACATCATAAGGATTGTCATTTTTCCAAACACTGCAGCCCCTTGAGTAGCTGTAGGCAATTAGTGGATGCAACTTCCAAACTGGTTGGATGTTGGTTGTGCGAAGGCAGTGACAGAGGATTTGCTCCATTGCCAGCCAAGGGGAAAGCGAGGGACTTACTTTGAACGTTTTTCGGATCAGAGACGAACCAGTGTCTTAAGACAGATTGTTGTTTGCCTAGTTTACTGTCATCTGAGCCATTTCACTGGCCATCTGATCAGCTGCCTGGCTTCCCTCGATCTGCCGAGGTGCCTGAGCACCCAAAAACATAGTAACATGGAGATGGCTCAGTGATGCACTTTCGTATTGTCTCCAAAAGCACTTAACTAGCGACGCGTATAGTAGCTTTTCCGGCTGGAATTGCTCTACATAGTCATTAGTAAAATACTAACAGCCGTCAATAGAGTACCTATAAACCTCAGCTTGGAAAATGCGGTACTCCTTTGATAAACGAAAGAGCCTGACTGATTCTCTGGTCCTCCAAATAGAGATAGGTGACGGATACCTTGCTCACCTTTGAGCCATCAATGCATCCATGGTTAGCCGCTCTCAGCTCTCAGCAATCAGCTCATGCCTCTTTGGCTCTTCGTATGACTAGGCAACGCGAGTGGAATAATTTTGGGCGCGTTAATGTTTACAAAATCGGTAAATATGAAACAAAAACCAATACTAATATTAAAAATTTTATTTTTAAATCGCAGGCGCAAAGAAAGG